CATTTCAGCTTTTCAAAATCTAACCCTAAGATTACATACAATACTACAACATATGTTTGCCAAACCCTTAAACCAAAGAATATCATGATTCACTACTTCCACTCATCTATGCTGAAAACAAATCAACTTTATCATTTCTTAATTTATATCACTTATAAATGTTTATAATTACATGTTTTTAATTTTTCACTCATCAAAAAATTTTGTACAGAATTTATAAATTATTTTTAAGATTCAATCGTCCAGACAACTAACATTTCAGTCGTCCAGACGACTGAAAAGTAACTCAGCCCGACCCAGACAACTTACTGGGGTTATATTCGTAAAAATGTCTTCTGTTTTTTTGTTTGGTCACAGAGCACTATACTGTAATTTCACAGCCCTTTTAGGTTAGATTTGCATTTGATTCAAGTTGGGGTCTAGTATTGGGGTTAAAACCAAGTTATGAGTTAGTTTTGGCAAGTCCATGTTTTTTACCCTTCTTTAAGATCCTCTAAAGCAATTTTATGACATCGCTTAAGAAAACCTGTCATTCATGTGTTTCTATGATAAAGGTCTTCCACAAGAATCGATTTAATTTTGATGATTGGCGAGAGAGGAACCACTGGACATTTTATAATCTGTCCATAATTATTATTTAAGTTGCTTCCATTAGCTACGTACGTCAATATTTATTAGGGTTTTTGATTGATAATAATACTTCTCCTGAAACTAATAATATTTTACGGTCATATATGGAAACTTGAACTCTATAAATAGATAGTAAAGTAAACATACGTATTACTCAAATTTGTAGTAAGACTCATCTACTAATAGCTCAAAAGTAAAACCTCTTTTCACTTCCAAATAAAATTTCCAACACACCAAACTTTTTACGTTGGTCGTAGCTCTCGCTTATATGCTTTCCTTGAGATCCAAAAAAACAAAGGGTCAGCTTCCTCCGGGGCCACGGGGATGGCCGATCATAGGGAACTTGTTCCACATGATCATGAACCGGCCGGCTCACTTGTGGATCCACCGTTCCATGGAAGACATGCACACAGAAATAGCTTGCTTCCGCTTCGCCCGCGTCCACGTCATCCCCGTAACCTCAAGCGA